CCTTCAATTAGGTTGTAGTTTATGGCCCCGGGGCCCAGCTGAGCCAGCCTGTATGGGGCCATGATCCAAACTTTGTCTACCTCCATCTTGACTCAACCACCACTTGTCTCAGCCACCGCCGCTCCACAGGACCACATCTGCTACCGAACGCGACCCCTCGACTGCTTCTCTCTCCATCTACTCGTCACTCAGTCCATCAAAAATCCTTTTTCCTGAAGCCCCTCTTTTCAGTTTGGACTTTCTTTTACACCTTTCACTTTTATTCTCAAACTAGATCCAACATTTTTTCCCTAAGATTGTTTTTTTTTTATGTTGAACACTGGGAAATGAATGTGTGTTCGCTTCTGCAAGAACATAGAGTGAACTGTTATCATTCCTCAGACCTGAGAGGGCCGTGTCAGGGGACTTCCTCCTACTGCTGCACATACAACTAATCCTTACAGCATGTATAACATTCAGAGGAAAGTCTTGCTGCAGCTCAAAAGGAGACTTATATTCCTTTCATAGGGGCTGCAGTGGACTCTACTACATTTTTACACCTGCCCACTGTGCATGGGGGGGGGGGGGGTTAAAAATCCCATAACTCACAAAAGGAACTGTGCCATTAAAATGAAATTGCAAGGAAACAGTGCAGCACTGTCTGTCTAAAACTATTTAGCAGGCTATTTTTGGCCATCCTGCACCATGTATGCCAGTATGCGGTTGAACATAACCAGGAAATGACAACATCCATAATTCAACCGAGAGCTTGAATCTGAGGTAAAAGAGACTAATGCTAAGTTTAGAGGTGGTCAGCGTAGCTCTGTTGGTTTTTTCAGAGCTACATATTGAAAGAGTCACGTTACATTAAGGGCTCACCGCCATGTCGAGAGAAACAAGTAGTCAAATGGACATGTCTGTCTCAAAGTGGTAATCTACAGTGAAAAATATGGCCAATAAGAACTAGGTTTTGGTTCAATGGGGTCATTGTGAGACCAGAGCAGGCCTATAAAGCCAAGTACAAGTGTCGTGTATTTTTCTGAGGGTTCATATGTTTCGGAAATGCAGATGAGGACATATGTACTCTTTAGGTCTAAACATGTGGATGTCACCATGAAGATGTCTGTTTGATTGACAAGCGGGAAGAGAGATGAAGAGGAGGTGAGTAAGATTTGCAGAGGGAAGGTGTGTTGGAAGGAGAGAAGAAGAGATGCTTTTACAAACAGGTTTTGCAGATGAGATATTGCATGGAGGGACATAAAGGTAACTGCTGAGAAGTGTACATGAGTGAGGTGACTTGTAGCAAAGTCTATGACAGACAAATGATCTGTTATTACTTTGGTATTGAAGCTGCACTAGAAGAGTTTTCCCTGAAGAACTTTATTTTGCAAAAATCAAATAAAGTGATCTGAAGACGTGTGTGTGTGTGTGTGTGTGTGTGTGCGTGTGTGTGTGTGTGCGTGTGCGTGTGTGTGTGTGTGCGTGTGTGTGTGTGTGTTGGGGGTGAGCTGGCCCACACTTTCTGCAAGACTCACAGCAGACACTGGCAACATGTCTTCCTCCTCCAGGCAGGCACAGGCAGTCATGATGCCAGCTGGACGGCCCTCAGTTCACGCACTGTAGCTCACCATATACAAACCAAATTGTTGTTTGGCAGCTGTTTGTAAATAACAACTAATTTCTTTGTCATTTTCAGACTGCATGTCAGGGAATCTTTTACAGAGATTTTCAGTCAGGTGCGACAGTAAGGTCCTGCGAATGAGTGCGGCATAAACAGCTGCCGCAGCAGGTGGGTGCGGTCTGAAAAAATTCAAATGATGCCAATTTGGGCTTGAAATGTTGCTTTTTTCTGATGTAAGAAAATTTAAATTTGAAATCAAATCTAGAAGAGTACTCATTGTTGTGAGAAATGTGACTCTTTTGGACACAGCAGCTTTTGGACAAGAACTCAGACCTCTACCAGACACTCCTTCGCCCACTACACGTGCGTTTCTGGTGGCTGATGAGAGTGAAGCTAGTGAAGATATTCATCATCATCATTGTTATGAAAACAAAAATCTATATTCCTGCCAATACAGGAGTGGTACGCTTCTTTTCTTTTCTATTTTGATTTGACTGACTGGTCTGCAGCAGAAGAGGACAACTGTGTGAGAATCCAACTTCTGTTAACTCTTTTAAAATGTAATCTATTACTGGCACCAGCATAAATCCTAAAACAGCGGCGTTGCCCTTAATAATATTGTGAACTGGAACATTTCACATGTGAAAGTTTTTGTTTATTTGGGATGAACGGGTCTAATGCAGAAATATAAAATGTTTTTCATAAGCAGAACTGAGAGAGGAACGCTGTGGTTAGGATTACACCTTCATAGGACCCCTCCACCCCCACACTTGTGTCCACTGGGAACACTTCCGTTGTGTTTTAGTACTGAATTGGCAGCGTGTTTGTTAATTAGCACGTGTTGCAATTTATTTGCAGCACGTGCTGTCAAATTGATGAAGATGTTTGTGAATTTTGCATGTGTTTTCTTAAGTTGCCGTGCGTTGAGCTCTCAGGGCCACCGTACAAAAGGATAAAAGAGAGTTTTAATGACCGTAACATAATGTAACACAAGGGGGATCGAAGATGCACTGAAAGAAAACACTGTCCCTGTTTCTCACACTCACAATGACACACTTTGTGTGTAACGCTGATATAAAAATTTAAAAGATAGCTCCTGCAAGAGAACAGCTGCCTGCTTAGTCCTGATCCTCTGACAGAAGCTGCAGTGTGCGTGGCAGATGTGCCAGTCTGACTGTAAGGAATATGAATACAGACAGGAGACGTTTTACGAAAGGGAAGTTGTGAAAGTTATTTATATTTTTGTGTCTGCACTCAAAGGAAGAATTACATTTCATGCTTTTTGGCTTAGAATTGGACGAATCAGAATAGCACTATATCTTTCCTCACAGTCATCCCTCAATCTGACGTGGCAGGACATCACGCACGCACGCACGCACGCACGCACGCACGCACGCACGTTCTCCTGTCTATGTATATTATAAACCACCATTATTATTTTTTATCTATTAAATGTATTTCTTAAATGTATTTCTTTTCTTTTTAGAGTTAACCTGCATGTCTTTGGAATGTGGGAGGAGCCCAGAGCACCTGGAGGAAAGCTACTGAGACACAGGGAGAACATGCAGACTCCATTTATTATATCAATCTATGTGTAGCCTTGAAAACCACAATGATTTTCAAGGTTACCCATAGATTGCTGCTTTCCCCTTATTTTGGTAATTTCCTGTGATGTAATTTTGGTATGTCACGGGAAAAGTCCCTGCGCCACCCCCACCAGCACCACCCTTTAACAAACTCATTGGTCACCATCTGTTTCTGTCATGAAGGTTTTTGTCTGACCTGTCTTTGTCTTATTGGACTGCACCTGACACCTACTGGAGATGGATATCACTTGATTTGTGTTTAATAATACAGCGGGTGGTTTTGGGGGTTAGGCTTAAACACAACCCTTCTGGTGAAGGTTGAAGCCTTGGTTTGGACAGATTTAGCTTCAAAATTGGAATTCAGATATTTGATTTGGTGCTTTGCACCTTGGTCTGGCCTTGTTTTTCCTGACTGCTTGGCTGCACATTAGACTTGACTTGGAGCTGAGTGTCAGCTGATTTGTCCTCAGCCGGCTGATTGACTTCGTCAAGGCCTCCCATAAATCTGTGTTCTTCATTTTCTCTTTCAGGGAACAACTTTTTGGTGGCTGCTATCTTGTCGACCAATTCCTCGTTCTCTGTCTTGTACTCTTCAACTTTTAGTTGGTACACGTTAGCTTGAGCTACTAATGAATCTTATTAGTTTGCTCTCTGATTAGCCACTTACACTTTGGAAGCTCATCTGATCTGGCTGGACGCACTAGCTGTGACATACTTTGCTTCAGCTCCTCACACTGCTTCGATCCTTACTCCTCAACAGTCTGTCCTTTTTGCTCAGTGGTTTGGTTTTGGTTTCTACACTATCTCTGAACTCTAAACCGCATGAATTTCATACGTGCAAAAATCACATGTTCCAATGGTCATGTGATCACGTGTCCACATGTGGTTTTTGCTCATGTGAAATTCATGCAGTTTTTCTGTTAGGATGGTCTTTCTAAAGTTGACAGCGAGTTCACTCACACCTGCCATCAAAGCTCCTTCTCTATTAAAAAATCCACCTGATCAAAGTTTTGCTACAAAACACTTGAAGGCTGCAGTTTTTCTGTGTGTAAAACCCGGACCTGTGGGCCATCCCTAATTGTTTCTGCTGCTGTCCTTTTCTTGTGTAACATGGTTTATGTCTTCTGTCTTCATTAAGAAGCAATCAACCATCTTTGATTTATAAGGGTAATTTAGCCATAATCCCTCCATTTCCTGATCTCCTACATCCAGGCTTGTCATAGCACATTTCTGTTAAGTACTCCAGCTGATGCGTTCTCCTTAACTCTGCTGGCCAGGGTTAGAGTTTGGGTTACTGTACGGGCTCAGATGATAAGGTACATTAATGTGCTCCACAGAGCAGCGCTGCACTTCTATCACATCTGTAGGTCTAGTATCAGATCATTAAGCCGTCATTAGGCTCTGTGAGGTGGTGTAAAGGTTTTCCAGAGTGTTAAACCTCCCTCTTCTTCATATTAAAGCTCCTGCATTGCTTAGACCACATCGACAAATGGAAAGGCGAAGGGGGACAGTGGAAGGAGAGTCTGGCAACAGGCTGACAGAGAGACTGAGAGTGAAACATGGAGCAGACGGGAAAATAAGAAGGAAGCTAAATCCAGACACAACACTTCCTCTGATGACAAGCGTGACGCAGTGCAACTGTACAGTGAGCTTCAGCAGAGGCCTCAGAGTGAAGGGATGAGTTCTGACTTTCACACCTCGTTAGTTACCATCCCTCCATCAGTATTATCTTTCCTAAGGCCATCCACTGGCTGTTGTTTTCTTGTGCCGTGTTCCGGTTTGTTAAGGCCTCGCAGCAGATAATATATGCTTACATGATCGTCTGCTGGAGCTCCTCTGGAATGGGAGAGTCGCAACAGGTCGTCGCAGTGCAAATCTCCTGGAAGAGGAGAGAGGAGGATAAAGAAAGAGAGAGAGAGAGAGGCACAATAAAACCATCAGTTTTCATGAGTGCATTGGGAATAATAAACACTCCCTGCTACACTACAGAGAAGCCACTCTTCAGTATAAGCCAGTTTCATTCTGTCAGCTGAAACGGGCAAAAGAAAAAAAGATGAGTGATGGAGGATTGAAGACGTAAAGGAAAAACACACTTGCTGTTGACAAAGCTGCAGGGATGAATCTGAATGTTTGTGAAATGCTCTCTCTCTCTCTCTCTCTCTTCTCTTGCTCTCCTCCCTCCCTTTTTTTATGCGTGTGTGTTTTTTTTTCTCGGATGGTGCCAAGAAACTGCCCCGGCCTCCTGAGCTCTGTGTTGCACATCAGTGTGCGGCCGTCCGAGCGCACACTGATGTGCGATTTTCCATCCACTTGCCGTCCAAAGTGGATCGGTACCAGTGCTATCATTTTCTGTCATTACTCATTTCGGGCCAGACATTGTGCGGAAATCCAGACTATTTTGGCAGCGTGAGGCAAGAAAAAAACATGAGGGTGAAAACTTCTGTGACTGTGACAGCAGTAAAGACAGTTGGGCCAGCCTTGTTAAGAAGCAACGGCAGACAGAAGAGGGTGGTCTGGTTGTTTCTTACCTCTCCTGGAACTGTTTGGACGGGATTAAGCCGGCACGGGGGTTAGCGTCACCTTCAAGTTTGGCCTGCCACCAGGTTGCATCATCTTGGCTCATGATCTGAAGGATGGAGCCCTTCTTGAAGGCGAGGCCGGCCTCCTTACATGGGATAGCTTTGTCCTCCTTAGGGTCGTAGTCAAAAAGTGCCTTCACAAACACCTGGACATACAGCAGAGGAGGGGGGAGAGAGGAAAACAAAGAGCTGGATTGATGGCACAACAGGAAAAAACGATGGTTCACTGTAAATTACCTTTCCCTCCAATTCATGGAGTGTGAACTCCAAGTCATCACAAGAAACACAGAAGGTGCTTCACCAATGCTCAGGGTGAATTTTCTAGAAAGGTCATAGCAATCAGAATTTAAAACCTTCAACCGCCGGCCAAGTTGGTCTCTCCATGTCGTTCCATCAACACTCACAACAGACTAAGCCCTGCCACCGTCTTCCAAGTGTGGTGAGACTTAACATATCCTGAGTCAGAGCCTCCAGTTGGATGTTCTCTCTTTTACCCGCTGACTTTCTCTAATTCTAAACACAAGCTAATATCAGTAATCTTTCCACACCGAGGAACAAACCAATACAGAGAAAGAGGTTGTTTTCTTTCTTTAAGGAGTTGCTGTAATTTGCTTTGGCAGTGAGGGTGGGACACACCTCATCAACACAAAGAAAGTTGGACCTTATAGTGGAAAAATCTCTGACATCTTTTCCTGTTGTGGGCGGCGAGCTGCAACCTAAAGCACCTTGCTTCGTCTTCCGTCCAAATTGAGTTCTGTCATGATGAGTTATCACTCTTAAGACACCTCAGTACATGTGGAAAGGAAAAAAAAGAGAAGGAAGGAAAGTGTGTATGTGTGAGAGAAAGAAAACGTGGGAGAGGGAGGGTGAGATTAAATTTTTCGATGTCCCATTGATTTAAAGGGTGTTTTGTGCCATGTAGTGAAATTATGTTTCAGACAGAGATGTTTTGTTTGGGTCATAACAGCCGTTTTGGCCACTAAACCCTCCAGCAGAATACACTCATACATCTACACACAAAGATGTGCTACATTTCTTCCGTTGGCTCAGCTTTTTCTTTGGCCTGGACGTGTTCAGCCATTGCGCTGCCCTTTGATGCATCTACACCACCTGATGTTAAGAGCACAGGCTATTTTCATGAAGGAGTGGCTGAGTGTTTGGCACTGGACGACTATTTGTCAGATGGGCTCTTTAAGCAGCCAGACAGATTCAACCATTACATGATGACAAAGGATGTAAGTGGCCCACCCTGTCCTCAGCGCCTCTGTTGCACATGCAGGGTGGGCTGCCGGGGGAATGATGATAAACCGCCTTCGACCCTGGAGCTTAAAGACGGGAAGTTGATCCAGCTTCTGTCTGCTACTGATAGATGAGCGCGTGAGAAATGGTGTATCAACACCCCAGTGGGTGACTGGTTGGCTGGTCGGAGTGACAGCTAAACCACCATTAAAATGGATGGATACAAGGTTCTGTCTACTTGTGCATCTTATTGTTACAGTTGTTATTCGCCTTTTCCCAGAGAGAGATTTACAGAAGTCTACTGCAGGTTATTGTGTTGATCAATGTTACAGTATTTAAGGCTAATTTCCATCCTTCACACCACTCATTTACACCCCCCCCATCCTGTCACTGGCTCACAAAGCTAAGCTAGCTAAGCTTCAAATAAGTCTGGCTCTGAATCGCCGTCTGGGGTGGGAGACATGTGGTGAGCTCACCGCCAGTGCATCTGGCCAGTGTACATTACAATAAGAATCAGTAACTACGGTTAAATGAAATTTCATCCAAGCATTAACATGGCTAAAATGCGTCCAGGGCTATCCAAGGGGATACAGGGATGCAAGAGCAACAATCTGAAAGAACTGCAAGGGTGCGAGGTGCGAGGGTCTGGGTCTGGGTTTGAATGCATTTGAATATGTGAAGGGGCATGTTCTCTTAAAAAAGGCTTTATGAAGAAAAATGTTAATATTCCTCAGTGTAAGATATTGCCAAGTGTATAGTTTTGTTTTTGGTTTCTAGTGTCAAAACATTTCAGTAATGCGCCCTAGTCCTACACAGGGCCTGGTTACTGTATTTCCCCTTCTCATTACCACTATACAACTCTCCTCTTTCCTTGCACATACATCATTTCCTCACTGTGGCTCGAAAACAATGTTCTGCATCCAACAAAAAGGTATCACGCCGGAGCAGAGGAGTTCACTGTGTTTTTTAAGTCAATGAGTGTAACCCAATCAACTTAATGATTAAGCCAGGACGGGGCCTACCTTTGGCTCCTTGGTTGGCGGCTCCTCCTTGACACTGGGAACAACTTTAAAGGTAATGGCTCCTTGTGACTGGGCCTGAATATTGGGAGAGACAAGTTAGATACAGAAGGTAAGGTCGAGACAGAGGGGGTGCGGAAACAGCAGTCATCTGCCCTTGCAAATATTTCACAAAGCACCTAATCCAATGAGAGTCCCAGAATGCAAAGCACAGTGTGATTTTTCAGCAGAGGAAGGGTTATTAGGAGTGGATGTCTCTGCTTGAAAGGGAGTGTGGGGCGTGTGGGGGTTAAAGGAGGAGTGTTGAGAGCTATCATCTGCCTTTATGTCTGAGAAGGCCTCTAGTTTAAGAGGCTCTCTCTTTCCTCTCCAGTTGTCCCTCCTGGCAGAGTCCTGGCCCATGACAGAGCTCATTTGAGGCCTGTGGCAGAGTCTGCTTGGATGGAGTACTGAACATCAGTCTCGTCCAGGGGGGGGGCCGCGTGGCTCAATGCATGTGGTCTTAAGGCCAGGAAAGACTTGTAGAGAAAGGCCAGTGTTTGGTTTTCAGCGCAGTGACGGGATCCACAGGGTCCTGGATGAGTTGGGGAGGTTTTTGCCATCACAAACTAGGAATGTTATGTTCTCCAAGGGAGTGGAGCTAAAACACAGGAGACACCCTTGGACACAGACACACAGACACACAGACACACAGACACACACACACTCACACAGGGCTGAATGAAGTCAAACACATGAGGCTTACCAGAATACGAATGATTTCCTCTGGTTTCTTGTCATCCACAGGGATTCCATTGACCTCCTTCAGTTCATCCCCAACATGAATCAGTCCTGCCACACAGAAACAAAAAAGTCTGCATATCTACAATCACCCTGATATTCCGTTACTCTAACGTCCTAATACAAGTGAGCTACTGTGTAAAAGTCCGGTGCTTACAAAGCCCGGGGATGTGTACAGTACACCAGATTAATGTTTATCGTCATGGTGGCATTTGAGGTTGGAGAAGAATCAAAACATCATTGTTGACACATGTGGAAATTTGCCTTTGGCTTCACTGTGGCAGAGCTGAAAAACAGACTGGACACAATGAATACAAAGTCAAACAGAAAACATGTGGACAACATAGCAGAGCTGCTTAGTGTGCTTGTCATTCATGCTCACATTCACAAATTGGAAATGTACAATCTGGCAAATTCAGACTCATAAGATAATTCCTGCATACATCCCCTTCTTTGTTGCACACCAGACATAATCTACTTGTACTGTAGATCACTCCAGACTGCAGCCTCACATGACTGAACCCACACAGGAGAGAAAAAAGAGGTTGGAACTGACCGCTTCTGTCGGCCGCCCCTCCTCTCATGATCCGGGCCACGAGGATGGCTCCTGTGTGTTCGTCACGCATTATTGTTGCTCCCTACGGACGAAGAAAAGAGGAGGATTCCAGTTTCATATCAAATGAAAATGACTGAATCAGAGGTATCTGGTGGAAATTTTAGGAGCTGAACTACTGATACTGAACTTTTTCTTTTAAATGACAAATAGAACAAATCTATGGTGGCTTATTATGGTGCATATATTTTTTGGTGCAGGTTCAAACCAATTTACCAGTTTACTCACTGCGATTTCTTTTAAATAATGATGTTTGTACGTTCCATTTTACATATGTCTGCACTTAGGTGATAGGAAACCCAACCAGTAGTATGCCCAAAAGTATGCCCAACCAGTAGTTAATACAGACACCCACTGAGACTAAACCTTTACAGAAACAATGGCACTTGCCATAATATATATCCTTTTGAAACCAGCTGGTAGGGCTGAACAATTAATCTAAATATTATCGAAATTGCATTCAGGTGACATTATCCAACAACTGCACAATGAATGATCTCAAAGGACAGGCAGACTGCTGTAGTGTGAATCACTCTGTCACTGCAGTAGTAGTGGCAATCTTTACACAAAGAGCTGGCCTAGACGCAGAGGGCGAAGGGTCAAGCAGGTACGAGGTTGTTGACTCAAAACACATAGAAACACCCACAGTAGCTAAAGCCTTCTCTGTCCTCCTTTATGGGCTTGCTGCTCGGCCAAAAACACACACAGAGAGGAGGATAGTGTTTCAACTTTCTTATTTGTAATGACGGTGTTCAGCGGTGATGCATTTACCAGAAAACCCAAAACGCCTTTTGCATTTACAATAAAACAATAGTTTTAATGGGTGCCAACCTGTCACAGCCCTCCCACAAACAGCATCTAGGCACCAGCCTGGCTGGGACTTAGGATGTTACAGAAGAACAAACCGCAACTTAACGTGAGAGTCATCCTCGCTTGGGCCTGATGACCCGAACCAGACAGATGCGTCGTCTAGTCGCGGCTGCAACTCATCCTTCCATCCTCTCCGAGCTGCTATTCCCATCATCCCCGAAGATTGTTTTTATTTCTCTAGCGAGAAAAAAAAAAAAGTAACAGGGCAGGAGCCTTCCTCACCCCGCTCGTCAGCCGTGCTTTATTTCAGCTGTCCGAACCCATTCCCGCCCGGGTCAACCGCTGGAGTACAACAAGCACGGCCCTCTGGTTGGTGATATTTTTCTGTTTGCCTTCCTCTGACAGGTCCAAAGTAGTTCTGGCTGCTACCATCAATGGGAAGCACAGGAGGAGATATCAAAACAACCCCCTCAAAGACCAAAGGAGCCTCTGGTTTGTGCCACTTCGCCGATCTATTAGCGTGTCATCTTGGTTATTTTCATGACCCATTCACACCTAATGGTTTTCCTCCTAGATAATGGTTTCCTCAAGGCCTTTGTGGTGGGTGCAGAGATGGAAACAGGGAAAGACATCAGGATAAGACAGCGGCAGTGTCTGTAGAGTTGTGGACCTAATGGAATAATTGGGATAATTAAAGAGACTCGGAGAGGTTGCAGTGGGAGAGAAATCAGAGGAGCAGGTCAGCGAGAGGGGAAGGCACTGTCAGACCCCCGTGTCAGGGTCACACATAACCCCAGCAGTGTGACTTAAAGCAGCTGTCTGTGATGCAATGGCCCCCGGCAGACAGACAGACAGACAGACAGACAGAGAGACCCTTTCTGTGTCTGTGTGTCTGAAAGAATAGAGTGCGGCAGGGAAAGAGACGGACTGTGACAGACAACAGGGTGAGATGGGGAGTTTGTAGGAAATCTCACAGGAGTATTCAGACATGTGGTCATTAACTTTCTCTCTACTTTTTCTGAATCCTTCTTCAAGCTGGCTGATGGCCAGCGGTATGATGGATGTTTTTATTGTGTCCCCCGGGTCCCTGGTGGCTGGTGGCAGTTTAAAGGCTAACTAAACAGCAGAGAGGCAGCCTTGGACTCAAAAGTCTGTAACGGCGATGGGCTGCTCAAACTCCACAGACGTGCTCCACACCACATGTCTATGGCTATCTATGGAATCTGCTCACATATGGTGTGTAGATATAAATCGTGTTTTGACACATATGGCTTAAATCACAAGTTGAAACCCTGATGCCATTTAGAAACACCACTTTTACGACTTTTATTGCAAGTGGCAATGGTGATTATAGAGCAGCACATTTAGCATGCAAACACGAAAAGGATGGGGTCATGAACCCAGATCTCTGGGAAGCGAGCAGACCATTATATTCCCATTCAAACCACCATGCTTTATGAGTTTTAACACCAGCAGAGAAACAAACACAGGTATCAGTCAACATATTTGCCCAAACTCGTTCTCTTTATACACCTCACTGACTCTCTACTAGGGCTTCTTTGAAGATTCCCATCTGACCCACTGCCCTCCAACGTAACGGGCCCATGTAGGCGAGCCAAGCCAGCAGCAAGGGAGACGGGGATTTATGAGATGAGGGGGGGACCTCCCTTCATAATCTGGCCAGCCCCAGTCTGAACTCAGCACTGGTACAGTAGCCAAATGAGCTCTGTCTGATAAGAGAAGCTGAGGGAGGCCAAAACGCTCCAGTGGCAACACGAGCGAGCCAAACTGGAGGGTAAGTGGAAGACCAGAGGAGGAGAGTCAGGACTGACGAGCTGACTGGGAGGGAGGTGGAGGAGGTAGACGGTGGGTACATGAGAGGGGGTTTTAGTTGAAAGTGAGTGTGGCTGTGAGTGAGTGAGTGAGTGAACAAATAAGAAGAAAGTATAAAGTGAAGGGATATGATGAGAGATCATGATAGACAAACAGCAGAAAAGAAAAAGAAAGAGATAGAGGTTAGAAAAAAAGACTTGGCATTGTTTGCAGACAGATTTTCACTGGCGCTGATATCCAGCTCAACAAGTCTTTTATTCTTGCATTACGTGGCCTTTTTTTTTAATCTTTATTAAATGAAAAGTTCCGTCTATCACGCCGAGATTTTCAATGCCAAAAGTGAAAACAGTAAAACTGTACTTCAGGCAAGTGAAATTATTTCACCCCACTGATATAATGATTGACTTTTTTTTTTTTTTTTAAAGGAGGATTATAAGTCTATGAAATACTTCATTGTTTTTGCTATAACTCAATTTCACACAGACAGACAGCATGTTGGTTTTCTCAAGGCTGAAATACGCTTCACGTACGTGAACCTGCACTGGTTCAGTGGGAGACGTATGCATGGCTGTTTTTTAACATACATAAAACTTCAACACCTCACCTCACGTTTTTCTATCCTCATTCCCAACTTCCCAACCCAAGTTTTCCCTGATCCTTGATTATTTCGAGTGCACCACACTTCCCCTTCCACCTCATTACAATCTACAGTTCACCTTCATCCCCTCAATCCTCCGGGGGTGTAACAGCCTCTCCTGGAGGCCTGACGAATGCCTTGGAAGCACTGAGAGGCAGCTGGAATGAGGAGGGGGCAAATCCAACCTCCTGAACTCGGCATCACCTTCCCCTGTGCCTTGATACCCTATGGGTGCTATCATCAGCATTCAGCCTTGCATGACCACTAATGAGGAGTCCCTGCTCTGTTAAACAAATACATAAACAGTCAGGCTAGAACCTAAATAAGCTGCATAATGTGTGTGTGTGAGTGTGTGTGTGTGTGTGGCGGGGGGGAGGCATACATAAGGAAGAAACAAGGTAGGTAAAGACCCTCAAGCACCAAGATGGGCTTCCTGGTGTAGCAGCTAAGCATTAGCACAAGGTTTACACCGAGCCTTCAACGCCTGCTGGCACATGGAAGCCATTTCAGACTTTTCCCTGCGTATGGAAACAGTACAGGAAGTCAGAAGGGGAATGTCTACGTCTGTCAAAGCACATACACGCATGAGTGACAGCATGTGTAGGTGTGTTTTTGTGTGCACGCAAGCGTGTCTACGTGTGTGTTTCTATGAGAGCGCCTACCCAAAGTCAGGCCAAACAGGCCCGAGAGAAACCTCAAAAGACTGGATGATTGATGCCGGACAGTCACTAAACCTGATGAATAGGCTACGCTATGTTAGCAATTAGAGACGAGGCGCCACTTAACCATCAAGTGGCTCAACTCCACTGTTAGCAAAGAAAAAAGATAGTATTGTGTGTGCACAAGATGGTGAAAAACCTTTTTTTTTTTTATTTAAGTGTTGTTTGGGACTGATTTGCTCTTCCTGTTGTCAACCATTGCTGCAGTTTGCCCTTTAGATGAGCATAAAAGAGGAAGTCTCTCCAGAAATTACACACTGAAGAGCACAGAAATACACAGTCAAAAATAGAGACGAGAGGGGGTTCATCTTGGACTGAGGAGGTCCTTCTAGCTGTGGTCAATTAGTCATGAGTAAGGCGATCCGAAGCCTCCACTCCTAACGTGATCAGCTCCATATGCAGCCACTGCTCCTAGCTCTATTCCTCAATTTCTAACACATAAATGCCTCCGATTGTTATTGTTGGGCTGGCCCGAACGCAACGGGCTTATTCTCCGCTGTCTGATGAGGAGAACTCGAGTGACGCTTGTCCATATCAAGCCATCACCCCTCCCAGCGAACGCGCTGGAGCACACATGCCGACATGGCAGCCACATTAAGTATGTGATGACAAATGGCTCACACCTCATATAGTGCAGGAAAAAAAGAGAGAGAATAGGGACTAAAATTTGGATCCCCCTCCTGTATGAGAGTGTGTGTTTATTAGAGGGAATGGAATGGAGGCAAGATTGTCCAGGGAACTGTCAGCGCACAGTAGTGCCATGAAACTTCAGCAGATAAGAGGAGTAAGACAAGCTGAATGTTGGATGTCTCATCATGTTAGCTTGGCCCCAACAAGGTTCTGGCAAGCTAAGCCTTTATGGGGCAATCAGAGTGCCCTCTGGCTGATGGACTGGATGGATGGCTGGATGACATGATGGAAGCTGGCTGGCTTGTACTCTGGTTGTATGGATGACGAGAGGGCTGGCTGGCTGGCTGGCTGGCTGGCGGTCTTGGCATGGCTCATCATAAGTCTCGGGGTCTAGTG